GAGAAATTGTATGTATAGATATAAAGGCGGTAAAATGCTGTTGCGTGTTTCGCGCTTTGGTTTTAGTTGGTCTGCGCGCCTGGCTAGTTCAATTTAGCGGCTGTAACATTGAAGGTACAGTAGCCAGTTTCAGCGCGAACGGGTCCTGTTGAAAGTACCTGAGTTATGTAGGATGCGGTTTGCATTTTACCTCGTAAATGTTCATGAAAATTTCGAGATATTGCGCAGCTGACAGCCTCTCCCGACTTTTGTATCATACTGTTGATATTCTCTGTACTTCGAAAATTGTTTTCCTCAACGCCTTTATTCTTATTCGTCATTTTATTGAATTTTGATATTGTGACGTTGTTGCTTTTGTTGGATTGTGTTGTTTTCTTAAGGAAAAGGGGTTTGTGTATAAACTTTTCTTTATACTGTAGCCGAAGAAAATGCAAGGATTGATTAGGTTAGTGTGTTATGACTTTCTGTGATAGTTTTTATATATAACCTCTGAATTACAAACAATAGTTAATTGCCAGTAAACTTTTATTTTCACAGAAACGTTTGAGGTAACTGGTTTGTCGGTTTTATAACAAAAAGCAAATTTGATTGACCTATAAAGTATCAATTTCCTACTTTATGTCCCAGCCGATGTAGCAAAATAAGATTAAGCAATACAAATTATTTTGTAAGTTTTGGTTCTTAAATGGTCCAAGCCGAACTGATAAGCAGGATTGGAAAACGTGCTACTTGGAGTATTTTCAATAATATTGTATATGGAATTACTGTTTACCTACGCGTACTTTTTTTTGCCTCCCTTTCGCGTTACAGAAGGGTGACTTCGATAACTTCAGTCATTTGTTTATTTCATGAAATAAATTTTCGAATTTCGAACAACAAGCTCATTGTTCAATCGCTTCCCAATTTTCAAAGGTCTCAACATATTAAATACTATTTTACTATTGGTTTAAAAAAAAAATTAATATCCTATATTGGTCTTAAAAAAGGACAACTTTATTTACCTAGGGAAAATAAAACGCGTACGGCTCTTGTGTGTGCAATTTAAATTGAACGCAACAATTACAATAACTCCTGATGTTCGGTCACAAGCCATTAAATTAAAAATACATAGCTAAGGCTGGTTTAAGTACAATTTATTGTCCGCCCTCGTTAACTCTAATAACATAATGCCCATAAACAAGTCTTTCACTGAGATATATAGGGAAATGTTTATTAATTCACAGTATGGTTCCGTAACGGTCATTTTTTAAGCTGTGGAAATATTATGGTGATTAGTTCTCGTTTTGTTTATTGGAGATTGAATCTTAAATGTTGTGTGCTAAGATTTGTTTTTAATTAAATCTCATGTGAAAGAATAATAGAAAACATAGAAATGTGATTCTATACCTAAGCATACTTAAGAATGTGCAAATTTTCTTTTTTACCTAGTCTTTTCAAGGTTTACCATATCCAATCTTAAGTACGTTGCAAATAAGCAACAAAATTGCAAATCAAGTATTAATTTATCTGTGGAGAAGGAATTTAAATAAATTGTTGCCGACGCAGCTATTACGAGGTTTTAACTCAGGCTTTACGATCAGCATCGTTTGATAATTGTGCGTTGTAAATTCACTTTCGCTATCTGTTTTAAACCATTCTCTCCCATCTAACTGTGTGTCCTATAAAGTAGTGGAAAACAAATTGTATTTTATTTGATTTCAGATGGTTCTGCTTTTATAACTGTTATATTTTCACTTCTTAAACAATCAGGTAGGCTTTATCGAGAGATATTGCCAAATAAAAATTTCAAATGATGATGGATAAAATGTGTATGACATACCTGGACAAATGAAAATATCTTCATATCAAAATAACGAAACTGCAAAACACCACTCAAACAGGCACAGCAGTTTTCGAGTTTGAAAAATAAACGCCAATAAAAGGATTACTTATATAATAAAATACCTATTACGAGAAGTCACTTCAACGGACAATTCCCGTCGAAGATACCCACAGGTCCACAGCTAAAGGACAATTGGTCATCGTGATTCGCATTGTCCCTCTAACAATAGACGAGAGGTGCTAACCACGACCGATATCGACAGCAAAATTTCAAGCAATTTCACGATATCCTACCTTTTGAACGACCAGTATTGAATTGATGTTCAGTTTTGCGGTATACCGACCATTAAGAAAGGCAAGTCAGATTTAGTAATCCAGGAGTTGTGGTGAAGATAATAAATGTTATGGTTATAAATAACTAGCGGTTCGCTTCAGTTTCGCATGGGTATCCAAACACAACGGGCTACAATGTCCTGATTTAAAAAATATGTTAGTAACTTCTCGTGATACATTAATAAACAAAACTAAAGAAGAATTGGTAATGGTGGAAATTGGTCCGGGCTTTTTTTATTGTAATGGGCAGGCATCGGGCCGTTACACCTGATTACGGCTATTATGCGACCAATAATTACGACCTACAAGCTATTCAATCAGGCCTTGAAGACGCCCAGGTCCCGTCGGGGAACACAGCGAGTTGTTGAATGCGATTGTTAAGTGTATCCTATGTCTGTGCCAAATTTCATACAGATCCGTCCAGCCATTTTGGCGTGATTGAGTAACAAACATCCGAACATTGTAACTTACGCATTTATAATATTAGTAAGATATGATATTATTAATTATTTTGCAATTCATCTTATTATTTATTTAGATAGAGATAGAAGATAAGTTAATTTGATGTAATAACTCACGACAGCTTGAACAACAGACTGCTTTAAAACCACTTTTGATTTGAACAAAATTTGAATTGTCGTTTGTTAGATTAAATTTCAGTTTTAAAACAGCTCGACTCATATTAATATTAAACAATACAATGGGAAAAAATTACGGAATGTGTCGGAAAAATCTTTCACAGTATTCAAATTATGTGCCATCTTCAACAGATTGTCAAATAAATTTGCACACCTTTTATAATGATGTATCGACTACCCTTGAGAGAAGACTTCACAACCATTCACCGATTGGAGTGCTCACCAATGTTTCTTATAAACATGAATAAACAATATTCCTCCCTAGGGCTGCCTCGAACGTAACCTTGCTTTGTTTCCAGTTCATATTGAATTACTATATAAACATTTTATTACCTAAACAAATCAGTGAAGAAATTCCTTGTGGCGTACTAAAAAAGGGTTATCGCTGAAGTGTGGCGATTGGAAATAATTGTTACTTTGAGCCCGAGTTTTATTTGCAGGCATTTTTTCTGGTGTTGGCAATTCCGCTTAGATTTTTTAGGATTTAGTAGTGATTTCAAAAGTTTGATTAAGTTGTTGTTCGCTTAACTACCGAGTAAGAACACATAAGTATTTATCATGTCATGTTGTTTGTAAAATTTTGGGCATGTTTTAAAATGTCTAGATAGTCGCTAAATGTCAATTATTTTTAAAATAGAAATTTTAATCACACATCGTAAAACAGGATCATAGTAAAGGAAATTATCTACGTTATGAATATTGTAGAGATTTTTTCAAACGCATTTATTGCAAGTTAAAATTCTGCAAAACTGATAATGTACTTTTCACAGCCAGTAAATAATTAAGGATATACACAGATATGTATATAAATCCGCCAACATTGTAGATGGTCTCGTTTAAATCTATAATCGATGTAAAGAGCTGTCCAAAGCCTATCGAACAATCCACTTGGAAAGAGCTGACGTGTTGGAGTTGAACGCCCCCCGCAAGTATCCAGCAATTTATAGGTTTTTTGCAAAAATATAGTCAGTCAGTTCAACCATGTGAAAATATTCGAGCTTAACGAAATATTTTTTGGTGCAATATTCATGGACAGCCGAAAGTAATCCATCAGCCGGTCCACGTTATATATGAATGAAATCACCAATCACAGAGACGTAAAAAGTATTTTCACATAATTGCATTTCGTTGACAATATTAAAATATGGTATTTTATACGAAATATTTTACCTTTTTTTGCTGGCTTCGAATTTGCAATGATGTAGTAGAATATTGTCGCAATAAAACGTACAATTTACACACGAGAGCCCAATGCGAACTGTACAATTAAACGCTCAACTGTGATCAACCAGAAGCTATGTTTAATATTATTGCAGCCATTTGAATAACAATGAGTGGCCTCATTTTTCCTGTATTATCATTGGTCGTTGAACATTCCCTGGCAGGGTGACGTCCTACGCGGGTAATTTTGGACAAAAGGAACGTGATCTTTTCAAATCTTTGAAAGGCCTAATGTGCTTGACCCACACGTATTTCAACACTACTCACATACATACATTTGCGATGTTTTCTCTTTTGGAATATGTATTAATATACTAGCTTCCGCCCGCGGCTTCGCCGTAGTATGTCGATAAAATTGCCTATGTCCTATTCTGGAGTGTATCTATGCCTGTGCCAACTTTAATCCAAATCCATCCAGCCATTTTGGCGTGATTGACAAACATCCAAACTTATTACTTATTTAAATATGGAACTGTAGTTGCATTGTTTTTTGGTAAGGTTATTTTAGGTGAGCATTAATTTTAATACAGTTTAAAAAAAATAAGTATCGTTGATTCGCATACATTTTAATCAAAAACACACAAAACCATTGTAAACAAAGTAAATGTATTGTAGAATACTTGTCTTGTTGTGTACAAACAATGTAATTAAACAAACAAACGCTAGCAGCTTTATTGAATACGAAACGAATCAAACTACAAAGTGGAGGAATCTCTTCGCATCCGTAACGGAGCCATTGCTGCATTGTATTGAGGAAATAGGAACTTGAAACGTGAATAAAGCTAGACTTTTCCATCGTTTGTTTGTTACAACGTAGCTGACGGCTCGCCTGGTGTTAAGCGGGGACCATAGCCTAAGTACAACAGAGGTGTTATATAACATCATACAAATACGGACCAAAGAAACAAAATTAATTGCGCCATCGTTTTCAAATAGGAGAAATCCCTAAAAATGAGATCGCAATCAAACAGAGGTTGGATAATACAACTAATTTAAATATTTCACTAAAGCTATTAATGTTAGTGCGAATATAATGCTATGTCCATTGATCGAGTAGGCGCCGTTGCACAGATCTGTGTGGCACATGGAACAAGACTTGTATTTCGGCATCAGCATGCCTGTGTCCGAGTCATCGCATGTGTTCCCGCAGTCACGAATCAGAGTGTATGTGCCTGTAACCAATCGTATACGTTTAGTGTATTAATTAATGCCTTTTTTATGTGAGAGGAAAATAATCAAATGGCTTCTCTCACCCAGGGTAGATGGAATGTCAGACTCTAACTGATTAAAAATCCGACCTTCTCCAGGTCTAGGCCGAGGCCGCGGTACCCTATTAGGTAAGTGTTTTAGAAATGATGAATGCAGTTGTTGATGAAAAAATGCTTTTAAGGAGTGCTCAATATGTTTTTTTTATGAAATTGTTCGGCAAACTAGCAGACGGATTACCTGATGGTAAGCAATCAGCGTCGCCCATGGACAGTCACAATGGAGGAGTTACGAGTCCTCGTTGCCATTCTTTTTAGGAATTAGGGATTTGGAGATTTAGGTGTTGAGGAGGGATTGGGGGAGGGGAAGGATTGGGCTTCCGGTAACCTCACTCACACGGCGAAACACAACGCTATTGTTGTTTTACGCCGGTTTTCTGTGAGGCCGTGGTATCACTCCGGTCGAGCTGACCCATTCATGGCGAAGCATGGCTCTCCCACATTTAATATCATTGTGCCATCGAAGTTAAGGCACCTGCTTCCCGTGTACCATGTAGTAATATGTGAGGGACTTAGCAAGCACCAATATGAATTTTTCAGAGTGACGGTAATAGAAATTTAGAATCGCCAATCGGCAAGCGCGGAGATTAATGACTGAAACATTTCCTTTGTGAGAAAATCTTCTCACAAAGGAAATGTTTTAACCGAAGGCAATCGCCTTTGGTTAGCTGTGGTTAAGTGATGTCTTTTCTTTTCATATCAAATATGAAGTTTAGAATTTGATACAGAGCTATGGACCAAATGGCATAATAGCGCTTGTTTGCCGAGAGAGTTTCTTAGTCACTATAGCGACATTTGTGTACATTTATTTATTTATATAATAATATGGAATTAGCACAAAGGTATTCAGTTTCCCAAAAGTTTCAGTTAGGTAATTAATTTAGCCAAAAATTAATTTAATTTGCAATAGCTATTGACGCTTGAATAAAAATAAAAAAATAATTGATATCACTTACTTCCTTTGCCAAACGTTTTAGTTATACAAGCATTGTTTCCTTTTCGGCAGTACTTCACCGTGGTCCGTCTGTCAGGAGCCCAACAAGAGGGATTGTTAGCGGTGCTACACGCGTAGCATAATCGATCAGTCTGCATCAACATTAGCGACGACTCTCCCATATTTACAACCCCATCTCCCTTCGTTGGTTCCATAACTTCATTTCGTCTTGCTTCTTTGTACTGCGCTCTGCCAACATGGGTCTCTGTCTTCTCAAGCAATACCCTGTTTTTCTCCAGAGGAACTTCAACGCCATTCTCTGAAGAACTCTTTTCCAGATTAAGCCCATATGCCATTGCATTTTCGTTATCAGTCTTCGATTCAGCGTATTGGACGTACGGTTTATTGTTGGGGACATTCTCTCCATCATTGTGATTTGACATGGATCGCCTTGAATGTTCTAGGTCATCATCTTCTTTATCTTGTGTACATTTATTTACTGGTGTAGGAGCTACTTCTGGTTCAGAATTAGCAATAGGTCCAAGTAATGAATTGTATGTTTTCAGAGGATTGTGTTTACTAGCTAACAGTGGATTATATTTGGGTTTGGTTTGAGTGGTGATAGGAGTTGGAAAATATTGATTTTCATATCCAGTATTGGGCACATAGTGGACCGGCCAGCTTTTGGGTACTGCTTTTGGTGGGTAACTGTTCTCATATGGAGATTGATCCAGATGGTTATCCGTGATATTTGGTACAAGGGCACTTGGTTGTGTAGGGTGTAATGAATGGACTGGCAGCGGTTCAGGAGTAGCATCATCGGCGTCTTTGATTAATAGTTGACGATGATTCTCTTCTAATGAATCTATTAAAGGGTTGCTAATTGTTATTAAATTTCTACTTTTATGAGCACTGTCATCAGGAAGTATTGTTTTAGGCTGCAAATCTTGATTGTCAGCTACTTTAAGGTCATATGGTCTTTTTCTCGAAACCTTAGGTTCATGTTTTGGAGTAGCTGGCGAGATATTAGTCGTCATATGTTTTTCTTTATAGGTTGGTAATGGAGAACTCAAAGGATCATCTCCGGAATTACTTCGTCTCGTACAGGGTTTTTGAAGAGAGGTTCCTTCTATTTGATCGTAATTGTTTCTTCCAACGTTATTGTATGTTTTTACGGGCCATTCGCTTCCTGGACTTTTATCAACTTCTACTGGACTTAAACGATAACCATCATCTTCTTTGTATGTTTCTTGCAGGTAACCTGAATGTAATCACATGAATCTATCACTAAATTAACCCTTCCAATCGCAGATGAAAAAATATTAAAATTTTTTAATAAAAGAAGACATATGTTGTTAAACTTATCGAAACATCTAGTTAAAAGTATTAAAAATTAATATAATAAAGGATTAGGCAATTATTCTCGGATTGTTTCCCACTACAACTCAGTTAATACCATATTTAGACACTAAATAAGAATAAGTTTTATGTTAATCACTTATTTATTGAAAAATTTTATTAATTTAAAACTTACCCAATGAAAATAGATTACAAAAAATAGTAAAAATAAAAAATTTCATTGGTCCGTTTTTTATTTTCACACCGAGATAACTTGTCCCTAAGGAATTGGAAACTGAAGTGGCGGCAAGTGAGGGCCTTCTAAATATATTGTGCGTTATAGGAAAGATATTTTATCGTTAAAAGCTGTAAACCAATATCATTCTATTGTGAATATGCGTTCGTTGGAAAGATATCGTAGGAAAACAATGGGTGTCCCGCAAGAACAGTTCTCATTGTTCCAATACATATTCTCGTGGATTTCTTTTCCGTATCCAGTGAGCCATATACCTAATCGTACTTCTACGTTAATAAAATACTAGAACTCGTGTCAACGAACAAACTGACTCAGCTGTCAATTCAAATTCTGTCTTATTATCAAATGGTGAAAAAAGTAGCATATGTATGGTGACACATAGGTACGCTGATAGGTACATATGCCAACCCACTTATATCGAATTAACAAAATCCTACTATAAAAAATTGAGAATTTTTAGAATGTATGTACATATTTTTTTATTCTTTCACGCAAAATTGGCTGGACCGATTCGGTTGGTATGTAGATAGGACACACCCTGGATGAATAACATACTATTCGGGTAAAGTCATAAAATTACGCTTTAATAATATAATAGAAAAATAGACAATTATTTCGCAATTTGTAAGGATGTGCACATCAGCCCGCTTCTAAGCCATAAAACACAACATAAGCTTATGGTAACAAGCCAATAGACCACCACAGTCGGGGCCCTAAAGGGCTGATGTTTAGCCGGGGCTGCGGGGTAAGCGCAATGAGGCACCGCGACCTCGGCCCACAGCAGGAGAAGGAACGGGGGGGTTTTTAGTCAGTAAGAGTCTGACACTCTCTCTCGCCTTACCCTGGGCGGGAGAAGTCATTGGATGATTTTCCCTTGACAAAAAAAAAAGCTTATGGTAACAGCATATCGCAAGACAAATAAAGCGTCATTAGATATTTTCAAACAAATGTTGTCGTTTCAATTTCGGTTACAATCACTGTCAGCCTAAAGGGTTGTGACAAAAACACAGCGAACAAAACTTGGGACGCTTGTCGCCGGCAGCTGGCCCAGGGCTTGTCTCCGCATAAAATATCGAGTCCGCTATAGCTATAAGATCGCGCTTATAAAATTCACAATGTTGCTGTTTAGGACACCGAATGTGTAATTGATTAATATTATAACAGTGTATGCTGAGTAGTAGCTACTAGCTTCCACCCGCGGCTTCGCCAGCGTGGTATGTTGATTAATAAATAAATAATTTACTATTCCGGAGTGTATCCTATGCCTGTGCCAAATTTCATACAGATCTACCAGCAGTTTTGGCGTGATTGAGCAACAAACATCCAAACATCGTAACTTTCGCATTTATATTATTAGAAAGATGTATACGTCGGTTTTTACATAAGCGTAAATATATATTTAAATAATACGTTTAGATACAACGTAGGTAAGAGATTCATTTATTAATATTAGACAACCAAGTTTATAGAAAACTTTGTGCAAAGCACTTTGACGCGCTTTGACTTTGCGTTTAGTTAATGGCTACCGTCACTTTATTGGATATTTTTTACTCATTATTAAGATTTTATATGAACAATATACCAAATAACTAGTGTGACTTTAGGTACATATTTAAGTGAGTTACAGAGTTCATAATATATTACAACATAAGAGAATATACCAAGTAATATTCTAAATTTACGAACAAAATTAGAAACACCGATAACTATCTAAAGCTTTAGTATAATGTTAATGTGCTGCCAACCGCTATTTGGGAAGGAAACTTGGAAAAGTATAAGTACCGAACGTTCGAGACGGTCTGTCTATTTTCGCAAATTGCTCTCTTTTTATTCTGCTTCTCTTTATTTCGTATTTATTTGCCCTTTTAGGACTATTATAACACATAATATTAGGCCTGTGTTCGATAAAGGCGTAGGTAGGTGTTGTTTTAGTACAGAAATGTTCAATATTGTTAAATGGCGGTGGATAAGTTCCAGACTCCGTGACGTTGAACTTAAATGTCGACATCAAATCACACAATACGCTTGTTTTAACAGCATTGTTGGGCAAATGGCATAAACGTTTATCGAATGGAACAGAGAACTTATTACGTGGGATTAATGTCGCCAGAGTTGTGATTAAGAATTTATATCTTTTTTTATATAAAATACGCAATATGACGATCTGATGGTAAGCAATCGGTGCCGCCTGCGGATACTCGCAACACCTCGTAACTTCTCGAAGGGTATTTGTCGGCGTTTTGGAGGTTTAAGGACTGGTGAATTTGGGGATTGGTGATGGGAGAAACATAGAGTTAGAACACGCCGGGTTTTTTGTGACGCCTTAAATTGCGATCGAGCCGGCCTTTCTGCTCCAAAGCATGGTTCTCCTACATTTCGATAATTGTTTACGCCATTTTGTTTGCATCTAAAAGAATAGTCAATTGTATTCGTTACTTATCTATATATAATATCTTTTATAAATATGTTATTTAGTATGTTTATGCTTACATAAAAAAAAAATGTCAAAGGCAGTTTTGGTGGAGGTGCACAGAGAACCCTCTATCTAATTGGACGGATACAGCCTTTACTGTGAATATAGTGACTTGTCAAAAATGTGGTACATTTTAGACATTAATTGCAGGCTAATACGTCATATGAGATAACAAAACATGGCAAATGTATGATTAGTCATTACTTCTTACATTGTATATGAGCTTGTCTAATCTAAGATTGGAATCTAGATAAGTGATAGCATATTTAATCGATAAATACAAAAGAGTTTACTTCTACTGCATTCTTAGACGGCCCGACTTGCCCGGTTGGCATGGGTTGGATTCTCGCACGGAACTACTCTTTGTGTGATCCACAGATGGTTGTTCCACGTCTGGGTGTGATGTGTATGTGAAATTATACGTTTGTAAATGCATCCACGACACACGAGCAACTCCTAAAGTAGGGCAATGTTATTTAAATAAAAATAAAAGAGTTATCGTCATTTATGTTGTAGTCTTATAATATTCATAGTTTTACCGTATCCACAGAGAGGTGATCGGTGAAAGATCTTCGGCCTAAGTTGAGACCTTAAATAGCCATTAGATCACCACAGATTAAGCCCAACGGGGTCGGTGTTCAGTTGAGATTGCGGTCCATGCGTATTGAGGTACCACAGCCTGGAGTAGGAGAACGAACGAGATGGTTTTTACTCAGTAAGAGCTGATCCTTCCTCTTACCTTATCCTAGATGAGGAAAGTGATTTGATGATTTCCCCCCCCCCTCCTTCAATGCGCAACATTTCAAAGTATTCACGCCTTCTATTCTACGAACGGTTTCATTAGACAACTGGTGATAATTAATAATTATATTAAATATCAGGAATTAAGTGGATTATGTACTATAAAATTGACATCCAAATACACGCATAAAAAACTAAAGCAACGAAAATCGCAATGAATTGAAATGTCAGATATACGTAATTAGCATGCATACATAAATTGCCCGTTATTAATTGGTAACTACATACAATGCATAATTACGGTGTTAAAGCATTAAGTACTAATTAGCTTCATCAACGATCGTGGTCGGTATTCAATTGTAGCCGAAATTAATTAAACTCTGCACTTTTTCAATAGAGTCAAAGGTTAAAATTTAATACTGGTAAAAATTTTATCAGTAAAACAAAATAACGAAACAGTTGTACGATTATTTTTGTATATATGTTTGTTTGACATTAGTTTTTTTAAATTTTAAATATCGAATACACCAAAGGATTGCCAATATTTTAAGCGCTAAACAGGATTTTAATTATAATAATGTAACAGTGTTATTAAATACTCTTTTGGTGACTTGCTTTGTTTTTCTGGCCAGTACAGTTGTCATTAAAGAAAAGATCTTAAGGTAAATATTAAGTTAATAAGAAGATACTCCTTACTTACCTTCATTAGCTAGAAGGCTGGGGGAAACTCATCAAAAGTCAGATTAAAATATTAACAAAGTACTGTTTAAAGGATACGGCTAAATAAAAAGTTGTGAAGGCTTAATGGTCGCTTGTAAGAGAAACTTAAGAATAATAAAGTGCTTTTATTGCTAAGATGACGTTAAATGCGAACGACTGTGAGAAAGGGGGCCCTTGACAGTATTCTGGACTAATGAGGACGTAAACAGTATTATAAAGAGCTTCTGGGAATCCTCATCGTTCATTAACTTGATACTTTCTTATGTTTAGAGTCATATAAGTAGGATAAATTATATTGATCAATCAAAAGGATTAATTTTTAGTATAGAATAGATGGCGTTACTTAATTTTGGGAAATGCAGGCCTAGCTTCAATCATAGATAATTTGGCACTAGCTTTTGCCCGCGACTTTGTTTGCGTGGAATAGTTACTTCCAGCAGCAGATTTTTGGTATAAAAATTGTTTTGGTATAAATCCTATGCCCTTTCTCGAGTTTTAAACTATGTCAGTACCAAATTTCACAGAATCGGTTCAGTAGTTTAGGCGCGAAGAAAAGACAGACATACAGAGTTACTTTCTTTTTTTAGTTTGGATGAATCTGTATCGGTGCATATCGGTGTATTCAATAGGGAAAGTTTTGACTCATTTCTTAAAGAGCGTAATTTTAAATATGTTTTTCCTAAACGTTGCTCCACTCCAGGATTTACTCCTCTGTCGAGAATGCGTTTAAAAAAATATGATTTACATGTACACCACACCAACACTAAGAACAACAATTCGTGTGGACACATAGAATTGTTCCATGCAGGAATCTGACCCGCAACACGTTGTGCGGCAGCCGGCCGTCCAGCCAAAGATTCAAAGAGTCAGCGTCGAGTCAAAGATTTATTAGGATATGTGAAGGTTAGCTAATTTCTAAATAGTAGTAGTAATAAAGTACAAATTCTGACGATTGAATTCACTAATTTCCTTGAAATGATGCCTGAATGTGAATCTGTAAATATATAGTATTTGCAATAAACTTACATATTTCCATAGTTTGAAAACGATATGAAAACGTCAAAAGTAGTGCTCGTATATTTGGTCGTGGTAGTAAACTTTGTGTGATCTATTGCAACTGTCAAGCTGGAGGACTCTCGTGGTTTTATTTGAGTTTTTGTCAACGGTTTTGGAAGTCAAATGGTTCCTTGTTTTGATTCAACATTCGAGTCATCTGCATTGCATTCTGTTGGCTGGTCGCCAAGATCTGTGCTTACTCCTTGATACTTCTACGTAGATTTTATATTGTTCTGTTCTCAGCCCTAATTTTGTTCAGTTTGAATTTTGTTTTATAACGAGATGTTGGCGTGGAAAGTTTCAACGGCTGTTTGCCTCGTTTGGGACGTCGTGAAATTTAAGGATACAAATGCTGTTGTTTTTTATAGCATATGTTTAGATTTTACTAACAGGTTAGAGCGCGGTTGCGGGAACGTGATTATGTCTCAAACGAGAAAATAACTAAAAATTATGATAGTAAAATTCAGATTAGTATGCTAACAACAGCAATATGCGCCATGCCTTGGCAGTGTTCAGTGATCCTTAATGTCTCATATCTCCAAATCATAATATCTAATAGGCATATTGATCTCAATAATACGTTTTATGATATTATATTAGTCTTCCTAAATATAATCCGACGAAAACACATCACGATGTAATATGACAAACGTCTTATTGATTTTTCCGCCCGGCCGCTCTCCTATGATTCGATAGAGCAAGATAAATTAAGGATGGGATAACCATCAATTAGGCAAGTGGTGTGTACGTCAAGCGGATACCCGTATTTTACGCTACAAGAGCAACTATTTCAAGCAAACGTATTGGGATTTGCTTAGGTAGTTAGGTAGCTACGTACGTGTGTTGCCGGGTTCTTACTAAGTTATACCCACGTTACCCAAATGTTGGTTTACTGCGCCGTCTTCTTCCCAAAATGTAATTTGATCAGAATAACGAAGGTGAATCTTCAAGTTAGGGTTATAAGAATCTTTGATATATGAGCGAGTTCTCCACTCGCAGTTACGTTCAGTGATTGAATAGGGCTCTTGTCAAAAAATAAGGATGTTATTTCAAGAAGTCATAAGTAATGAATAGTAATTAAGACCAAAATAGATTCAGACTCTCTTTGCTTTGTCATCATAAAAAATATCTTCAAATTGTACTCCTCAGCGTTTAATTGGAATTTCCTACCGCGATCAAATCGGTAATGAGCAGATTTGATGAGTTGACCGTACAATTTAAATTAAGGGTGAAATATTGATAGACGGCAGAGTTCGTCGAGTTTGTTATTAATTAAAAACATTATTAAGAAGGTCTTGCGAACCTCAAAGACTTAAGTCCGAAGACGATTGTTATGAGCATTTCATACTATAAAATGTGTATTTGATTTACTCTTTTGTTTATCAAGATGTCACTGTCAGATAAGGGTTATAGATTTTCTGGGTCCGCTTAAGTACGACCTTTCATACGGTTTTTGAAAATTCTCTACATACTCTAAAATTGTGAATAAAATTACAAGGAGTGATAATTGATGAAATGAGTTACAATGTCAGGAAGAAAAATGTAGTCTATGTGTAAGTATTCCAGACTTTATTGTTATAAGTATTCCAGACTTTGACTGCACGGTTGGTGCGATGGCTGGGCAACTGGCTGCCATGCAACGTGTCGCGGGTTCGATTCCCGCACGGAACAACACTTTTTGTGATCCATAAACTGTTGTTTCGGGTCTGGGCGTCATGTGCATGTCACATTGTATGTTGTGACAATGTTTTTTTTAAAAAGACTATTATATTTCTGTGCGAAATTTTATTCAGATCCATTGAGTAGTTTTTACGTGAAAAAGTAACAAACATTCATAATTACAAGCTTTCGCGTTGATTTAATTAGGTTATGTACGATGCGCTCTTCAGTCAACCTCAAATGAAAGGTGTGAATTTGATATCATATTTATGAAATGTCGATCCGTATTTCAAGCCTCTTGTATTACAGTTCAAAAGATAGTGTCAATGTTTGTATACCTAACAAATATAGTTTTCTGTGTCGTGCAATAAACTTGGTACTTGATTAAAATCTCCACAATCAGGAGACCCTTGATCTTGGAACGGGAGTATACGTTTATATTACGTTAGAAATCAAGAGATAACCTTACCTAACCTAATTTAGGAGTTATGTCTAAACAAAGTTGAGTTCTAACAATTTGGATATCTAGGTTTGTTTAAAACTGCCTTCGTGATGTAGTTTCAACGGTTCGTTTGGTATTTTGGACCAGAATAGGACGAATTATGTTGAACTTTTGTTATATTTAATTTGGAGTTTTAATATATTTTAGTTATTAAGCTAGGTTTTTTATACCTCAATACTTACCTCTCTTGCTTAACCTCAGCCATCCAAAATTCATCTTGGCCTTTGGTAAAAGATTCCGCCAATTTTTTCGATTTTGGGCAGTTTCTCGTTCGGTTCCTCTCTAGTGGTCTATATTTTCAGCAGTTCCTAGCAGTTTATTTAACAATGAGACACTATCATCTCTTAAAAATAAGTTTATTATTCCATGAAGTTACCATAGTAATGTTTTTATTAAAACAATATTTTTTTAAAGTAGTTCTTCTTTTTTGATATGGTTATACATCATTATACGTTTTCGTGCATTATTGGCTGAAAACATATAACGATGTATATCACTCGACTTGATTTTAAGAGGGCCTACCTATGGAGCTATACACCGTTTATAGCTCAATCCCTCTTTCTCGCCCGAAGACTCACGCTTTAACACGTCACGGTAGGCCTACAGCTCTTCTCATCCAAATTGCCAGCCACCTTACGGGTAATATGACTCAAACTGGTTACCATATAGTACAGGCGCTACTACATTTGCCTAGACGTGGTTATCGGTTCTTCGATAAATGTGGCTGGCCCACAGTCGTTTCAATCCTTTGGACCATGTTGACAGTTATAATTTTGTGTCGAATCACCTATGTACGAAAGAAAAACAGAATCTAGAGATTCAATTTTGAAACTGACAATTCCAAAGCGCGCTTAACAAGTCCAGTTTCCTATAACTTAATAATATAATATAAGTTCAAGTACCTCGCCGTAATATGACGTTGTTAACTTGTTAAGGTCCCCGTTTGTTTTCCCACACCCCAACAAGTTATATTTGTCGTTCTAACTTAACCGGTAATCACATTCAGTTCAGACAAATTAAGCCCCAGAGCGCTTTAATTTTCGTCCGACTTCGGGGTAAAATAATCCCACAGGTGTTGAATTGTGTTTGCAGTTATTTCAAACGATGGTAAAGTTTATAAAAGAAAGTTTGGAAGTTATATCGTTTGGTTCTTTTCCTTGTTGAGCCAATGAGCGAGCTAGTTGCTGGGATTACAAAAGTTTTATTGAAAGCAAGCATCTAAAAATTTATGCAGTCTCTCTTTGGGGAGGAATATTTAAGTTAATGCAGGGGTTTTTTGTGTGTACGTTTGAATTGGACATTCATAATTATTATGAAGATGATAGCGATCAATCTTTTTCTTCGCCATTTTTGTATCATAACAACTTACATCTTTAAATGTGTAATGTGTAAGGTAAGTAGCCATGATTTTAATAAAATGGCTTTAGATATTTTTGTCTAACCTCACTACTTAGTTATATAAAAGTCAACATTATTAACAAGAAAGTTTGTAAGTATCTTAGAATGGATGGATGTTTGTTTCCTTTACCACAATAAAATCTGAAGGGAGCTGAACTAAATTTGGTATACATAATATAGGTACGTATATTATACTCTGGTATAACACATATGCTACATTTTTCTGTACCCAAACAAAGTTTCTGGAACAATGCTGAAAAAAACTAGTGTTTTCACATTTTTTTCAAAAATCCTTTTTGTATTTACTGAAACCCAACTTGATAAGTTCACAACTTACCGTGTTTGATTGGCAGTGAACTGAACCAGTCACTGGGTACTAGCCAAAGCTTAGCCAAAAGCCAAACTTTAATGAAGTTGCAGAGTGCGGTTATCAGGCGTGCTCCCAACGCCATTCTGCTGTGCTTACTTACTTTTAACTCTTAGTTTAATTGGGATTTACAAACATTCGAAGCATTGTTTTAGTTATATAAGCTTTTAGGTGAACGAAGTGTCTGTGTTTTAATCGAGAAATGGACTGTTGCATTCACGACGAATATTATTAATTGCTTGTGATTGTAGAGTTGAATTATTACCTCATTTTTATTTTATGACTGTTTTGCCTATCGAATTAGCAGTATGTAGTTGAAAAGTATCATATTCTGAAGTCACATCTTCAGAGTATGATACTTTTCAACTACATATATTCAAACCAAATATTTTAGTTACCTAATGTATAAGTTGGACCTTATTTAAATAGTGTCTACATTATGTTTAATATTTGCAAATACAAAGTTTATTCTTATTGTTTATTTTTTTTTCTCTTTTAAAAAACGTTGCCCCACATTAGGATTTTCTCCTGTGTCGTGGGTTCGGTTACAAACATACAATTTCACATGCACATGACACCCAGACCCGGACCAAAAATTTGTGGGTCACACAAAGAGTTGTTTCGTGCGGGAATCCAACCCGCGACACGTTGCACGGCAGCCAGTTGCCCAGCCACCGCACCAACCGTGCAGTCGGATTAAAGGATTTTTAAGATCCTTAAAGATTAGATAGCAAACCTTCCACTATGAGCAAAATTATTGTTCCATCACACCATTGTGATAGTCATAGCCGTAATAAACTACCAAAAAACCCGGTCCAAAAATGGAAAAGACCACAACATACGTCTAAAAGAGTTGATAAAATTGAAATCTGTCCCATACACTCTAGTGCAGTGTGCATTCATCCATCACTATACGCCGCCATTTTTCTCATGTCGTATGTTTCAAGTCTACACAGTTTGCCAGTATTAGTTACAATGACAAATAGAACCAATGGATGGATTTGAACCCGTCCTCACTAAGCTTATGAAAACTATGTCAATTTTGTAAAACGTGCTTTGAAGCGGTTAGTTAAGGACTAAGAGCTTTGTTTAAAGGGTTTTGAAATACCGCAAAGCGGTTTTATTGGTTTTACTTTTATACGGTGGTGCTTTTTGTATGTTTTAGTTCTTTTTTCATCGTTTTACATTAGTATACTTTTTTTGAATTATTTATTTTAGGTCTTGGCTTCTCGAATAGTCCACAACTAGTTTCCCACTGTAGGTCTTCAGTTTGTATAGGTACTTGAGTTTAAATTAAATCAAACAATTTTATTTTCAACTAGCTGCCCGCCCCCGCTTCGCACGGGTCCAACTATCTCGCTATCAAAGGGTCACTTTTTCCTAATTTTCCCCTCTACTTTCCTAATATTTTCTTTGATAAGAACCTTCTCCTGACAATAACAAACAAAACAAAAAATGAATTAGCAAAATTGTTCCAGGCGTTGTTGAGTTATGCGCTTACCAACACATTTTGCGATTCATTTTTCAATGTATGTTATGTCAAATGATATTATATGATATGATTTTATGTCTTTTCTGTTGAATGGTAATATTTTTTTTTAATAATACCATTCAATCTTTTAATTAACTGATCGTAATACTAAATAAATTAATAGATTCCATTATTACATGTTGTTAATTGATTTATAATTAATTAAAAGTTTTTTATGTTATATTTTCTACCTGTTTTTAATTTTTTCGCCCACCCTAGAATTTTCTCCTGTGTCGTGGGTGCGTTTACAAACATTCAATTTCACATACACACCACACCCAGATCCGAAACAACAATTTGTGGATCACACAAAGAGTTGTTCCCTGCGGGAATCAAACCCGTGACACGTTGCACGTCAGCCAGTTGCCCAGCCACCGCACCAACCGTGCAGTCACTCTATCACTCTAGAAATTACTCTATCACAAACGGATTCTAATTTATTCAAAATCTCTTCTAGAGTCTTCAACTCCACATATTAATTTGACAGTAAAACGAAGTAAATTAACTGAACGGCTTTCAACTATTATCACTTGTCATAAATTCCCGCGAATGGTAATAATAAAACGATTCAACCAATAAATCTTAAACTTTTCAAATCTCTATTTTATGTAGGCCATGATCAGGAAGCGGACTTACATATTTATGTGAGACCCCTCTTTTATGGGTCTTGTGGGCAGTTACATTTTATGCCTAAGCATACAATAACACGTTTAACATTTTAATGGGCAATGGGATATCGATACCCAAAATGTCCCCCATTTTAGTCTCACTTCGATCAAAGTATTCCAGCGTGGTCCATCTTACGGCTTTCCATTGGGGATCTTCTCTCTTTCTTAAGACTTCAAATATTTCGTTTAAGGTTTACTACACCTGTCGACCGATGCTGAAGGCGAATAGATTTCAGTATTCTCAGCGGGATAAAATGTTCTGTAATGGATCAGATTAGCAGTTTTTCTTGTCTTAAATCAACTCGATTTGATAAAACGAATAAAATGTTCTATCGAATCAACTGAGTGCGATATCGATTTACCAATTTTTGCAAAACTAAGTATCTCGGATGAAGTTAAAGGTAAATATACGATTGCTTTTAAAACCTCTATGTTAATTTTACGTAAGTTTTCTGACGATTCGTTTGGATCGGACGTATTGAACAATTCGTCAAAACAATTAATGTTAAATAATCAATTGTAAAAATATCGTGACCTAGATTTTTTATTAGACTTTAACCTACCAGCAATCGTGCGACATTGTGATAAGTGTAAATTAACAATGTACTGTGACTGAAAAGTATATACTTTGCAAAATGGAAAACAGCCCGTTTGCTCAGAGTAGCAGGGTTGCGCGCTCACCTCCTGGAACACCTCTGCCGCCAGCTACTCCTACTTCACAACGACCATGCCAATTTCCCGAACCCCCTGAAACAATCCAGACTCTGAATTGGACTGATATCTTGCTCACATTATAACTTCATCATCACCATCAGCAGGAAGACGTCCACTGCTGGACAAAGGCCCCCCCCTCAATCCTCCACGTCAAATGAAAAGTTGCCGCACACATCCATTTGGCTTTCCGCGACTCTGATAATTTCGTCCGTCTTTCGAGCGATGTGGCTTGCCCATTTCCACTTTAGCCTGCAAATTTTCATGCTATGTCGGTAACTTTGGTTCTTTAGCGCATTTTTGATTTTGTCACGCAAAAAGACTCCAAGCATAGCCCGTTCAACATTATAACTTATGTTTGAATAAATAAAGCAATTGTCACCTGTCCTACATCTGGCTGTTCTTCGAATTTGCCGAGTTGAGTTGAGTTTCAAAATTAGGGACGATATTATCGAATGTCCCGAGGTCGAAAATGAATTATTAATGACTGAATCGGGACTCTGCAGCTTTAAATGGGACCTTTATTTGCTCTGTATTCATGGAAGTACTTTTGTGCGAATGGTAACGACCATTACAAGGCAATAAAGACTTTCGTACTTTGTACAAGTTGCTTTATTAACAATTTTCACGAGTAAATTTCTGAGCCACAGCTTTTAATTGAGGGTTAACTTTGAACCAATTCCGTTGGTCTCCAGTCAAAAGGATTGCGAAATCAATTAGCTGTTGTTGAATTGTTTTTGCAGTATTCGGGTCACCAGACTGATGTACTTTTCGCCTACTTTACGATATTTTTTATCAATCATCGTCAAAAAATAATTAAGGTACAGTAATCTCCATGCCATTAGAACTGCTTTTTCTATTCCATTCCATTTTTTTATTAGCTTAACATTTATTTCTGAGAAAATTTTGACCCAGCCTCGAAACAAAATTTTTTGGATTTGGACACGTTGGAGAGCAGCTAGTTGCTCAGTCACTATACCGCTATGTCAAACAAACTAACGGTTACATTTTTGTCATGAAACACATTTTTTTTTATGTAATAGATCGGCAAACGAGCAGACGGATTACCTGATGGTAAGTAATCAGCGCCGCCCATGGACACCCGCAACGGAGGAGTTACGAGTGCGTTGCCGACCTTTTAGTTATTAAGGGTTTGGAGATTTAGGGATTGAGGAGGGATTGGGGGTGGGGAACGTGTTCCGTTCCATTTCCGTGGTATCACTATGGTCGAGGCGAATCATTCGTGCCGAAGCATGGCTCTCCCACACTTAAATAATACAATACTTAATTATTTAATACTGGTGTACGTACGATAAGATGTACTATGAGTTTTCAAATTTATTTACTGCTCCGTATTTGAAATTTTATTCTAGTAGATAATAAAAGGCGATCACGGAAGAACCTTATCTTTAGTCTGTCTCAGCTGTTCATAGATATGATGTATGACGCATATGACACGATGCGTAAACTGATAACGAAGTTAGGAGGTGTGCAAACTAACTTCGACTGCTGATAACAAGCCTTATCTATCACGCGGCACTCAGTCGCATTCAATCTGTATTCGACCTTAAAATACGCTAAGATCGAAAATAATATCTCACGTCATTTACATCATACAATTACTGCAGTGATCTTTTGAGTAATGTTACGTTAGTCGAGATAAGTAAAATTAGACCTTGTTGTTTTACGACGGGCCAATGACGATTGGCAGTGACTGATTGTGGAATCGAGACTCTTAATGTGGGAGGGACATGCTTTGGCATGAATACGTCGGTTCCACTGGAGTGATACCACACAGGGCAGTGATACACACGGCCTCACAGAAAACCGTGAAACAATTACAACGTTCTGTTTGGCCTTGTGATTGGGGTTACCGGACACCCAATTGTTTTCGTCGATTGGGAAGCGATTGGGAAGGCATGAGGGACGCCTCATGCCTTCCCAATCGCTAAATCTCTAAAACCCATATTCCTAAAATGCCGGCAACGCATTCGTAACTCATTAGGTGTTGCATGGTAGGGTTATAACTAAAATCCAGATGTTGTAACTAATAAAAACTTAAAACGATCGAAGTTATGACACTGTTTTATTATATTAAGTTATTTTAAAAATCAATTGTGAATACTCAATACATCAATTATTAATCAGTTCGTGTATAACTGCATACATTTGTAA